AACCTCGAAGAGGAAATCACCAAATCAATACCATTTACAATAGCCCCCAAGAATATAAAATACTTAGGAATAAATCTAACCAGAGATATAAAAGACCTACACAATGAAAACTATAAGACACTACTGCAAGAAACCAAAAGACCTGCATAAGTGGAAAAACATACCTTGCTCGTGGATAGGTAGACTCAACATTGTGAAAATGTCAATTCTACCCAAAGCGATCTACAGATAGAATGCAATCCTGATCCAAATAACACTGGGATTTTTATTTTTATTTTTTTCGGTTTAAGTAATAAAAACTTATTGAGAATTCCTGGGATGGTGGTTATCTCCTCCCAACCTTGAGGCGGGGAACCAACACTGTAGGAAATCACTGAGAAATCACACACTGTTCCAACACCTCTGGACAAAATGGGGAAAAGTCATTTCCTTGAAAAAGGGTCAGTCTTCCAAGAGTGGCTGGGAAGGTAGATGCAGAGGGGACCATCACATGATACTGGGGTGGGCCAGGGGTGTGCTGGACCCCTAGCTGACTCCTCGAAAACCAGGGGAGAAAGAGACCCACATCCTCTCTGGGGGCAAAGTTCTTGGTCACCAGCCTCATTTCTTAGCCTTGATGATACTGTCACTTCCCCGAGTGAAACGTTCATCCTGTAGGTTTCGCACAAGGTTGTCAGCAGTGAGACAGATATGATTCTGTGATGTGGTGATCGTTTTGGAGATGTTCTGGGCTGCCCGGATTTTGCGCAGTTTGGTGTAGCCAAGGTTCTTGCTCAGGGCTTCTCCAAGGAGAGCAAGCCTGGGTTAAGGGTCCACACAAGGCTAGGTCTCAATCCCTGGCCCCATCCTCACTACTCCCTCCCACCTCTTGCACCAGTCCTCTGGGCTGTCAGAGCCAAGGTTGCACTCAGATGGCTCATGCCTTACCCTACTTTGGTCCCCACCTGTGGGCCTCCTTGCATGCAGCTGCCAGGAACTGGGGACAGCAGTGGAAATGGAGGCAAGGCCAACCACCAGCATTTTTTAATGAGATGAAGAAACAAATCACCAACTTCATATGGACAGGGAAGAGGTCCCGAATAAGTAAAGCATTACTCAAGAAGAAGAACAAAGTCCGAGGCCTCACACTACCTGATTTTAGAACCTATTATACCACCACGGTATCAAAACATCCTGGTACTGGTAGAACAGCGGATACATAGACCAATGGAACAGAATTGAGAATCCAGACATAAATTCATCCACCTATGAGCAGCCAATATTTGACAAAGGCCCAAAGTCCATTAATTGGGGAAAAGACAGTCTCTTTAACAAATGATACTGGCATAACTGGACATCCATCTGCAAAAAACTGAAATAAGACCCCTACCTCACACCATGCACAAAAACTCAAAATGGATCAAAGACTTAAATATAAAATCGAAAACGATAAAGATCATGGAAGAAAAAATAGGGACAATGCTAGGAGCCCTAATATATGGCATAAACACAATTCGAACCATAAGTAACAATGCACAAGCACCAGAACTGGGAGCTCCTAAGAATCAAACACTTATGCTCATCAAAAGACTTCACCAAAAGAGTCAAAAGACAACCTACAGACCGGGAAAATATTTTTGGCTACGACAAACCCGATCAGAGTCTAATCTCTAAAATCTACAAGATACTGCAAAACTTCAACAACAAAAAGACAAATAACCCAGTTAAAAAATGGGCAAAAGGTATGAACAGGCACTTCACCAAAGAAGATATTCAGGTGGCTAACAGACACATGAAGAAATGCTCATGATCATTAGCCATTAGAGAAATGCATATAAAAACTACAATAAGATATCATCTCACCCCAACAAGGCTAGCATGAATGCAAAAAACACAAAATCATAAATGCTGGAGAGGTTGTGGAGAGACTGGAACACTTATACACTGTTGGTGGAAATGTGAAATGGTACAACCTCTTTGGAAATGGATCTGGCGCTTCCTTAAGAAGCTAGAAACAGAAGTACCATACGATCCAGCTATCCTGCTCCTTGGAATATCTCCTAGAGAAATAAGAGCCGTCACACGAATAGATATATGCACACCCATGTTCACTGCAGCACTGTTCACAATAGCAAAAAGATGGAAACAACCTAGGTGCCCATCAACGGACGAATCGATAAACAAATTATGGTATATCCACACAATGGAATACTACGAAAAGATAAAGAACAATGATGAAGCCATGAAACATAACATGAAGGAAGCTGGAGGTCATTATGCTGAGTGAATTTAGTCAGTCACAGAAGGGCAAATATCATATAAGACCACAGTTATAAGGACTCAAGAAAAGGTTTAAACACAGAAGAAAACATTCTTTGATGGTTACAAGGAGGGGGAGGGTTATTTACTAACTAGATAGTAGATAAGAATTATCTTAGGTGAAGGGAAGGACAGCACACACTACAGGGGAATTCAGCAAAACTGGACTAAACCAAAGCTAAGAAGTTTCCTGAATACAATCAAACACTCTGAGGGACAGAGTAGCAGGGGTAGAGGTCTGGGGACCATGCTTTCAGGTGAAGTCTAGGTCAACCAGCATGAAAAGCTTATTAAGAAAATCTTCTGCATCCTACTTGGGTGAGTGGCGTCCATGGTCTTAAAAGCCTGCAAGCGGCCATCTAAGATGCATCGATTGGTCCCAGCCACCTGGAGAAAACGAGAATGAAGAACACCAAAGACATAAGGAAAGTATTAGCCCAGAAAGGGCCACATAAACCAGAGATTTCATCAGCCTGAGACCAGAAGAACTAGATGGTGCCAGTCTACCACCAATGACTGCCCTAACAGGGAACACAACAGACAGCCCCAGATGGAGCAGGAGAAAGATATGGTGCAGAACTCAAATTCTAGTAAGAAGACCAGACTTAATGTTCTGACTGAGACTGGAGGAACCCCGGAAAGCACGGCCCCTGGATTCCCTATCAGCCCAGAACTAAAACAATTTCTGAGGTGAACTTTTCAGACAGGGATTGGACTGGAGTGTGGGACATAAAGTGATACTCATGAGGAGTGTGCCTCTTGGCTCGAGTAGATACAAGAGACTAAATGGGCAGCTCCTGTCCAGAGGTGAGACGGGAAGGCAGAAAGGGTTAGGAGCTGGCTGAATGCACATGGGGAGTCAGGGGTGGAAAGGAGGAGTGTGCTGTCACAGTATAAGGAGAGCAATTAGGGTCACATAACAATGTATGTATAAATTTTTGTATGGGAAAAATAAATAAAATTATCATTCCCAAGGTATGAAACATTATGCTAAAAAAGTTGAAAAATAAAGAAGTATTCCAAACTGAAATTGTTTTCAATTTAAATTCATCTAATTTCCAAACTAGTTTTCATTATTTTTCTGAATGTTGTTAGATTCATATATTAACCTCATTCAGGGCATATTCTCTTGCTATGAATTATTCCATTAAAACCAATCAAATAGATCTGACAAGTGGTCAAAAGTATTTATTTAGGGGTTATTAAAACAAGAGAAAGAGAGCCTTGATGGCGCACTGGTTAAGCACTCAGCTGCGAACCAAAAGGTCAAACCCACCAGCTGCTCTGTGGGACAAAGATGTGGCAGTCTGCTTCTGTAAAGATCTGCAGCCTTGGAAATTCTGTGGGGCAGTTCTACTCTGTCCTATAGGGTCACTATGAGTTATCATCGACTCTATGTCAATGGGTTTGGTTTTTGGAAAGCAAGAGAGACACTCGGACTTCACTATCCCTTTTAACACTTTTTAAATCAAATTGGGTCATATGACTCTTCCATGAGGTCTACAAATTATTCCTTATGTGTGTGATGTCAGAACAACATTAACCATTATGATGTAATAATAAGTGGTTTAGACAGAGCGGGAGGGAGAGAGTTTTCAATTTCACTCCAAACCAATCCTATATGATTAGAGAGAGCAAGAGTGATGGCAACAGGCAGGATCTGGGCAAGGATCGACTCTGAGTGGCAAATCTCTCCAATCTGACTACAGTGAATCAGTCTCTTTCCAACCTAATGGCTTGTTTATCGAGCATTAGTGGATTTTTCTCTTAATTAATAGGGTTCCAGCCAACAAAACTACATTCACAAACAGAAATATTAGCCACATGAAGAAAAATATATACACTTTTGAAGTACTGTCACTCCTACCCCAAACCAGGAGGTTTGAACAAACTGCCAGGATCCAATTTGGGAACCTGCTGCTTTGTCCAGGATTGGAAGTTAGTTTCACCTTCACTCCAACTCTCACACACCCAAACACACACTCCCAGAAGGTTTTCCCATTGACATCCTCAACATTAATTTGCTACTTAAGTACTTAATTGTTCAGCTTATTTATACATCATCATAAAGTTATTATATCTGGTATCTCTCCTCTTCTGTTGTCAAGCTCTGAAGACCAGACAGAGCCTCTGTGCTGACACAGATGCTGTCATGACTCTTCTCTATATTCTTAAGCAAGCTCTCTCCAATGTGCATTGACTCTTCCAAGACAGCAGTAAGCAGGATGCTTTTGGTTCCAGCCCAGGGTACCCTCCGTCCATACACTATGAATTCCTGTGTGCCACCTTTCTAGGTGGAGGGACACCCCTTCTGAGCAAGTGGAAGTGAGTGAGAACAGAGATGTCATTCTTAAAAAAAAGAGTGACGCTACACAGATACATCCAAACTCCCTGAGGAATGGAATTACTGGGCTGTAGGCTGGGGACCATGGTCTTGGGGGACATCTAGCTCAATTGGCGTAATATAGTTTATAAAGAAAATGTTCTACATCCTACTTTGGTGAGAAGCATCTGGGGTCTTAAAAGCCTGAGAGCAGCCATCTAAGATACATCTACTGGTCCCACCTCATCTAGAGCAAAGGAGAATGAAGAAAACCAAAGACACAAGGGAAGGATTAGTTCAAAGGACTAATGGACCACAACTACCACAACCTCTGCCAGACTGAGCACAGAGCAGCTAGATGGTGCCCAGCTACCTCGTCCAACTGCTCTGACAGGGATCACAATAGAGGGTCCCAGACAAAGCTGGAGAAGAATGTAGAACAAAATTCAAACACACACACACAGAAAAGACCAGACTTGCTGGTCTGACAGAGACTGGAGAAACACCAAGAGTATGGCCCCCGGACACCCTTTTAACTCAGTACTGAAGTCACTCCTGAGGTTCACCCTTCAGCCAAGATTAGACAGGTCTATAGGGTAAACAATAACACACATGAGGAACATGTTTCGTTGTTCAGTCATGTGTATGAGACTAACAGGTACATCAGGCCAAAAGCAAAGATGAGAAGGCACGAAAGGGGCAGAAATACTGGAGGAATGTAAACAGGGAACCTGGGTGGAGAAGGGGAGAGTGTTGACACATCGTGGGGTTGGCAACCGACGTCACAAAATGATTTGTGTATTTATGAGAAACTAATTTGCTTTGCAAACTTTCATCTAAAGCACAACTGAAAAAAAAAAAAAAGAAAGTTAGCACCCTGATCTCTCTTACATACAAAGCCCCTGGTCATCCCTGGTGATTCAGTTTACAAAGTACATGTAAACCTGTATTTAAGCAGAGCAGCGACTCTGCGCGTCAGAGCTTTTCTGAATCAGGGGAGGTACTGGAGACTCTGCACCTCCTCTGTGCTCAGGACACCAGGGAGCCTGCTCTCCAGAAATGCGTGCGGCCAGACAGCCCACATCAGGTTTACCTATGACCAAACTGTGCCACCTGTACCATTCTCTGTAATCTATAATCAGAGCAAACTAAGGAAGTGTCAGGTGCACTCCTTCCTGAGAAACCTGGGGCTCTTCCCACGACCCTGGTGGAAGGAAGAGGAGCCAGGTCCCCTCTGTGGTCACCTCCCAGCCTGCCTGCAACTGCTATGGCTCCTCCTAACTCTCACTAGCCAGTTAGAAATATGATCACATTGGCAAAGATTGCTGGAGGTTCCCCAGTTTTGGTTACCCCTTCCTCCAGGCCTCTCCTTAAATGACAATGTGATTGTTTGACCAATGGGATGCAAGCAAAATGATATGTGCCACTTCTGGGCTGGGTCCTCCCTCTGTCTTCCCCTACAATGGGGACACTGGAGCAGACAGATGGACGCTGCACACCAGCCACAGTGAGGCAACCACATGGAAA